GTTGTCTCAGATGAAGCTTTAATTTCTACTTCCTTTAAGACGATGAATTTATTTGACATTTTAGAATAAATCAAATGTGTTACTCGATCGACTGGTTTATTGAGTTTTTTAGTCATTTTATATCGCTCTTTTGTTTAAGTGAACGACTCAAGAAGAGTGGATTTCATAATTATGCTCCAAACACTTAAAAGATCATCACATCACCAAAAAGATTCATTATTCATCGTAATATTTGGCTCTTAAGTTGATGACGATAGTTGTCAGCAAAGGAGGTAGTTAATTTCTATTGAGAGCAATGTTGGCGGCTACAATGATCGATAATGGTCGCTAGTGGTGATGGTAGCAATGATAAGCGGCGGTGAATCAATAGTGGTGATTATTTTTAAAAGAACTTAATGCACCCATAAGTTACTTTAAATTTTTTTAAAAATAATTTGATTTCTTTTAAAAATAAAAAAATTAAGTAAAAACAAAATATTTTTTTTTTTCAAAATAGAAAAAAAATGTGATCATTTTTCAACACCGACCAATGCCACCGACTTCTAGTCGTCAGCTACCATCATTTTTTAGCTTTATACTACTACATTTATTTTACTTCAAGCTATAAAATAAATTCATATATATTTATTTTATAATTTTATAAATAATTCTAAATATTTTAAATATATTATATTTATTTTACTCTCTATTCAAATTTTAGTATGCATTTCTTCTTGAGCGTCCTTTATGAAAATTTCATTTAAAATTGAAATAAAAGAATATTTAAATTGAAATTAAAATATATATGTATTAAAATTTAAAATTAATTTAATACTCACAAAATACTTTAAATGTCTCCTCCTCTTAAATTTAGAGGAAAAAATTTGGATCAATATAAGATATTATGCTTTAAATTTGATTAAAGTGGCCTTTGCAGATATAAAATTATTTTAAAATTAGTATAATAGATGACTAATTAATCTAATTTTTAATTATAATAATTTCATTAATTATGATGAGAATATTTGGACTCAAAATTTTTTTCTGATATATCTCACAATAAATAATTGAACATTTATCATGCTTTGCCGAGAGATTATTAGGTGTGGAATGCGGATGGGGAAAACCGTCCGCACAAGCACTATATTCAGCTAGGTACCGGCACTCGATACCCAGGTACTCAATACTTGTGCGGACGATGCACACTCCGTACCTAATAATTTTTCTGCTCTGCCAGTCTGCCACTGACCTTGCACTTTAAACGTTCTCTACAACAGTTTCAATTCTGAATGGGAAATGATAGGCCCCTTCCGTATTTTCTTTGTTCTTTGATGGGCGAAGCCAAATATAACTGAATGAGTTGGCGTGTGTGAAGATAGTTAGCTATCTATTGTCGTAACCAATGTTTGCAGGTAGGCTTTCTCTTAATTGTTGTATTACGCTTTTTTTTTTTTTTCGTGTTCTTTATTTGAGAAGTAAATTTAATCATAAATTGACTTCAAAATTAGAACCCTCCACGTTAATTTTAAAATAAATTTAATAATTTTTTATTAACATCTAAAACTATTGATAATACATATTTAACACCTAAACTTCTATATTTGCCAATAACCACCTAAAACTTCTATGTGTTAAAAAATAATGATGAGCAGCGACTACATTTTCAACTAATTTCAATGAAATTTTAGAGTAAACGAAGCATTTTATTTGATAGCCTGACGACGGTTCAATGACTTCTGACTTCCAAAGTCATTTTATATTTCTCGCTGGTTGACTTGTCAGGTTTTGAGTTTTCTTCTTGTTTCTTCTTGTCTGATCTTTATCTTTTCTGTTTTTAAAAAAAAAACAAATAAATAAGTCATTTGACTTTGAATTGCTAAGTCCTTTTGTATTTCTCGCCAGTTGACTTGTGAATAGTTAACTTCACTTGTTGTTTCTTCTTCTGTCTGATCTTTATCTTGTTTTTTTTTTAATATTTTTAAAGAAATAAATATAAAAGCTTAATGACTTCTGACGACTTCTGACTTTCAAAGTCATTTTATATTTCTCATTGGTTGACTTGTGAAGATTTTAGTTTGTTTATCGTTTCTTCTTCTACTTGATCTGTTTCTTTTCTTGTTTTTTTCAATGACTTCTTGTATTTCTCGTCGGTTGAGCTGTGAAGGTTTGAGTATTGTTGCTGTTTCTTCTTCTGTTTGATCTGTTAGATTTATTTGGCCTTACTAATAGCAATGAATCGATCGAAATCAACTTGATATCTCTTTTAATTCTTTGGAGAGAGGGCTATAAAATAATTAATAATGGCATATGAATATATGATCCATGTGGAGAACTCCTACAGCTCTTTTGTTCAGAGAAAATTTATTTGATACTAACTGTTTTCCACATATTTATTTATTGCTGTCTTGGTTCTTGTGTATGTTTTGAATTTTATATGTCTAATGCTTATTCTTTCTCATATTATTATATTTACGTAGCTCATCTTGATATGTTAGTTATGAATTTTGACTACCAATCAAGAAATTTTGGGTTCGAAGTTTATGTATGTGATGTATGTGTGAGTTTATCTCAATTGACTCAAAAGTCCCAAAATAATATTTATTTATTTATTATTATTATATTTGAAAGAAATATTATGGCCTATCATCTCATTAAAATAATATTTTTTTATTGTAATTAAAAGAAAAAGTATAATAAAATTGAAGGTAATTACTTCTTGTCCCTTAGGATTGAAATTCACTTCATTTTTTTTCTTTTTTTATTGAAGATGAGTTTCAGTTTTAATCAAATATAATTCTAAATAAACTCCATGGATGAGTAAATATTTGACTTGTGCATATAGATACTTCTGTGGTTTATTATTTGATTATATCATGTGGAGAAGAATTAGCTAGGATTTTGTTGACATTTAGATTAAAATCTTTGAACAAATTTCATTCATTCAATTCAATATGATACATCCATATGCATTTTCATCAAGTCAATGAAGTCTCTATGGGAGCTTTGAACTAGAATCAATGAGTAACATATTGAAAGCTAACTTAAATTACTTAAACAAATAAAAACAGTCAAGTTTTAAGTCGCCTAAAGCCTTAAGTTGGCTAGACTAAGGCTCCGTTTGGAATGACTTCAGATGTTGGACAAGTCAATAAAATGAGTCAAAAACTTCTTTATAAATTGGCCCCAAATACTGAGGGAAGCAAAAGGTCTGTGCTAATACTCCTATGATAGGCCTTTTAGGATATGTCTCAACTAGATTTGTAGCATAAATGAATTTATTTTAAAATAAGAAAATAATTAATGTTAGAATATTCTGATGTAAAATAAATCAAGTTGGACTCCAATGCCATTAAATTTTTATGGAGATTAGTGATATTTATAATATTTTAAATTGGATTATCTCAATATAAATTTAAAGATTTTGAAGTCAATCTTGACACATTTGCATCAGAATAAAAAGAAATGATGATAGAAGAGAAATCGATGATCGCACTAAAAAGATCATACAACATCGGTGTTCAGTTGAAACATCTTAAAATAATTTTTGAAACTTTGATACCCAAATAATTATGACTGCTTTTTTAACATTTTGATCGACTCATTAAGGCTTTATTTGATACAACTTTGCTTCTCAAATTATCATCTTTGTTTGATCATTACTTTTTTTATTGTTTTCAAAAAAAAAAAAAAAAAAATACTAGAACATTTTTAAAATTTATTTTCTCTACAACAGTTTTACAAAATATTAAAAAAGTCATCCCAAACGAAACCTAAGTGTTCATTTTTGTCAAATTTTTAATCATAAATCATGACAATATCAGTGATACAAGGGTAATCAAATAACCTAATCAGACAACTCAATGAAACAGACTTGAAGCTCAAGCTTGTAGCAAGATTAATTATTTTGTGCGGATGCCAAACACCGTCCCGGAGATCAACTAAAATGCGCCACGTCGCCACTTTGTTGTGTACCATGGTCAGTACCACTGATTTGATTGAACCTGATTCGCCTCCGAACATAAAATTACGTCCGGCCTCCGCATTAAATAATTTCTCGTATAGTAGATGTCCTTGCAGTCCAATACTAAATCCGCCAATGCTGCAATACAATGCCAAGCTCTTTTGACATCTTGGTGCCTATAGAAAATTTATTAAATGCATCAAATACCCAAATCCATGTTTCATAAACATGGATTGAAGTATATTAATGTGCGTCATTTAGTATATAGTGTTTTTATTAAATGTTTATTATTTGTGAGTCATTTAGTATATTAATGCTTGACAATTTTTTGTGACATATCAATATTAATATTAATAAATATTAAACACAGGAGATAATATCAATAAATAATATACTAATTGTATTGACTCGAATATCAACAACACCCTTACATCCTCAAATATTTCACTGAGGAACGCAGGTGGGTGATTGAAACTGTAAAATCCACAGAAGAAGGCCATCCTTATTGCTCGTCTTCCAAAATTTGCTAATGGCTCTCATGTTTTGGGCAAATTATTGGGTCAGGTGACCGGAGCCAAAAGATAAGTTCGGACAGCCAATAAAAATTTGCCGCGTCACCTTGCGCTTTAGTTGCGCTTTTTGACTTGCGCTTTAGTTGCGCTTTGGTTGCGCTTTAGTTGCGCTTTGGTTGCGCTTTAGTTGCGCTTTGGTTGCGCTTTAGTTGCGCTTTAGTTGCGCTTTGGTTGCGCTTTGGTTGCGCTTTGATTGCGCTTTAGTTGCGCTAATTTTAAAATAATATTTTATTATTATCCGAACCTATCTCTGCGTTCGGTCACCTGACCCAATAATTTGCCCATGTTTTGGAAGGGTCAGATAATGGATTGAAAGCTATGTTCTATATTTCTATTCTTTATCAATGAATGAAATGCGTATGACATTCTCTAATATACAGTTATGCTGCCCATTATCATTTACATGCTACAGAATATTCTATCAGCTCTCTCTCTCTCTCTCTCTCTCTCTCTCTCTACGTCCCCCAACAATGCACTTACTCCACCTTTCACAGACCATCTTCATTGAAAGAGAAGTCTGGCTCATCCGGCTTCATGATCAGCTTCGGCATCTTCACACTGAGGGAAACAGTATCGTCCCGCTTAAGCTTTTGATTTGCTCCTCTCTTCGTGTTCTTTGCAAAGTTGGCATTGCCTCCAAAAGCACTGTCACCAACATCCGCATATTCAGCGAGCAATGGAGCATCGGAATCCTCATTAACCGGTATCGTTTCAGCCATGGCTGGTGAGTAGTAGAGATTCTCTTGCTTAGCCAGTTCCATTCCTAGCTTCTTCTTCTTGTATCTTCTCCATGCAGTTTGGATGAAGCAGGCTCCCCATGTCCTCCATTGATGGGAATAGAACCTGAAAGCATGCTGTAGCTTCTTGTTGTGGAGACGTTTGAACTGATTTGCAACAAATTTTAGGTCTTCAGCTCGAAGCGCAAATGCCTCTACTTCGCTAAGGGCTCTAACAGTTCGGGTGGAGAGTGGTAGATTGACGCTTGGATTTGGCATGAGACCCCATGTGAGAAGCTCTTCACCGCAGAAATCTCCAGGTCTTAGGGTTATGGAGTTGAAAAATCCAGTTCTTCCGCCGTCTGTAGTTGAGCTCTCGAGCTGACCGCGGATAATAAAGAGCATCTCGTCCACTGGGTCACCTTCCCGGACAATGTAAGTATCTTTGGTGCTCAGGGATGAGACTAGTCGTTCGCATATTGCATCTAGTAGTTGGTCATCCATTTGGGAGAAAAATGGAACCTGAAATAGACACATTTGAAAAAATTATGATGCAGTCTTTACGGTTCTATATATATCACTCAATCCAAATATTAACTGAATATAAATATAAAATAGAATAGATGAATGCTTTTCAAACCTCAGCTTTGTTTGGGATGGTTTTCTACTGCTTCTTAAAGCAACTTTTTAGTACAAAATTTTTACTAAAAAACTGTTTTAAGAAACAGTAAGAAAATAGTCTTAAATAAAATCATAGTGAGTAAACATAGCAGTGGTAGGTAATACTCACCCTACGAACTAGAGCAAGACAAAGATGTCTTCTAATTTCACGACGAAGGTCCAAAGGTAAGGAGACCAAAATTGAGTCTTCATCAACACCTCTTGTAGCAAGCCATTTGTACTGAACAAACCTCCTAACCCGTTCTTGCAAATCTGGTGGTAGTTGACGATGTCTCATCCATTCCTCAATGTCTCTTCTTTTTACTCTCCATTCTTCAAGCCTCACAGTAATGGATTGCAAATAGGTCTTTCAAGAAAGAAGTAATCTTAATATAAAAGTAATATCAATTAACCAAATACTGTGAATCATCTATTTTTGACTAATTAGGGTAGAGTTTCAAAATGTAATTCTAATAATAAAATCCAATAATGTACCAAAGAAGTTAGAGATCAGCATCTACATTCAATATTAAATGAAAAGAAATAACTTTGAGGAGGAAAATGAGCAATACCTGCATATTTCCTATCAAATGTGAAAACAGAACAAGGCCCATTATACATATTAGAATGGCAAATAAAGTTTCCCCAATGTAAGTGCTTGTAGCCAAATTCTGTCCATACGAGCTGTTCAGCAGTAAAAGATAAGATGTGTTAATATCAAATGATGATTGCACCAATGTATTAAGTCACAACCGCTAAATAGAACTCAGAGAATCTGTTCGCTGGAAAATTAATATATTGAGCAATAGCGCTTTCCTATTTTCTCGAACATATACTTATGTGGAATGCTGTTATTAGAAGCCCTTGCTGTCCATGAGTGATATGTAAATAGAACAATTTTTTTCCCAATGTTCAAAGCGAAACTATATCACTAGTTTATACGGATATCCATAAAAAATAGTAAATAAAGCAAAGCTAAAAGAATAATTCTATCTGCTAGGGATGGAATAAAACACTGCAATGAAACAAACAAGAAAGTAAAAGCAGCGGAAATATAAGGACACCAAAATTTAACGTGGAAATTTTTGAAATCGGGAAAAAACTATGGAGTCACACCACCAAGAAATCTACTATGAAAATGGGGAGAAATAAGTGCATACCTCTCTTCTCTCTCGCTCTCTCCTTATTTCTTTTCTCTCTTACAACATTCTCACATTATAAACAAAAAAGAAAGTCAAGTAAATAACATCAAGGGACACCACCCTTAAGAAAAAAAATGAGAAAGAAAACTATTCAATCCACCTCGAAGCACTGCGGCGCCAGTTTAGAGCGCTGTGATGCTCAAACCTCTAATACCAATCCATCTGACGATGCTACGACACAAACTCGTGACTTGATGTTCCAAGCAATAGTATAATATGATTGATCAACACAATGAGATTCCACATAGACTAACACTGCATGCCCAAGCAATAGAACTCACTAGCAAAACCATTAATTATCATTTAATTTGATAAGATATCATGGTGTTGTTCATTCTTATATTAAATCATACAAATTTACAAGAAATACCTGAGTTGTACAATCATGTACTCAGTTGTGTACATCGAGAAAAGATTGCACATAAGCAAAAAGGGTCAATAAAATTGCCAAAATTAAACCTCTCTCTAAGAGTGGCAACAGAACCTAAAAACATCACTCTACAGACATATTCAGAAATAATTAGTAACTTCTAACAAGAAGATAAAGAAAAACGTACTAGTTTTAAACATCAAGAAATTCACCTCAAATTTTGCAAGCCCCACCAGAGACAATACAGGTACTTTGCTATGAAGGTTGCTCCAACAACTTCATTATTCAATGCATCAGAGAACATGCCAAAATTGAAATTAACATTACTACTAGTTGCATCACAATTGCTTATCACTTTAGTAGCATTGATCCAGGCTTTTCGCTCAGGTAGATTAAGACTATTACAGTCCAGAAAACTTGGATTGCACAGTGGCATCTTCATGGTGCCATTCTCTTTCATGCATTCTGTCAACCAGCAAGTATATTGGCGTTCCATTGATAAAAGATACCATAAAGCACCTAAAACCTGTAGAAGTTGCGATTGGTCAGGCTTTTTACAGTCCAAATAAAATAGAATTATGAAGAGAAAAGGTAATGTAGCTAGAAAAAAAAAATACATGGCTCGCAAGCATATATAGGAGAAGATTGTACGCAGCTCCTGCCCATGCAGTTTTCGTAACAACTCCGGTGGCTTTGACGATCCGTGAATTAAGAGGAAATATAAGAAACAACCTTGGAATGTACTGGATGAAGACAATCATTGACAGTGTGTTGTTGGTGTGATTGGCTGATGAGCTACTCACTGCCGGTATTACAAACCATATTAGTATCTGCAACCAAAATCATAAATATTTTCAACATTTCCAAACGTCAATATCTTAACATGAGCTTGTTTTATTTAATCAAATCGGCAACTCATTTACATAAGCAGCCAAAATAGAAAATGTTCATACAGTCTAATTATGTGTTCATACATCATTATAAATGCACTGAAAAACAAGAATTTTGTAAATTTATTTCTATGGTATTTTTCATTCTATTTTGAATAAAATTAGCATCAAAGAGCTCGATGATATAATTCCGTAGGCAAAATATCAAACAAAGAAGACATTTTCAATAAAAAATCAAAATATTAAGACATTTCTATCTAACAATATTTGCTAAATAATTAGTTCAGAAAATCCAGACCCAAATTTTTTTTTTTCACAATTTATTTCCGGCAAAATTTTAGGAAGAAGCATGGTTGTTGCCGATATTAGGAGAAAAAGCGTATTAGGTGAATAATTTTAAAAGCAGCGTATACGCCATTTGGTACAGCGTATTAATCCGATACGCAAGCAAAAAACACGCATTTAAACAATACGCTAATATTTAGAGCGCATTATTAATTTCCTCTTGTTATTCTAATCATATTTATGATTCATAAATTTATATAATGTTAAATTTCTAACAATATCTATTTAAATTTATTCTAATCATATTTATGATTCTAATTTACTCAACTTCTAAACATTGATAAGATTATTGTTTTTTTTTCGGAAAATTAAATTTTTTTTTTTCGGGGAAATGAAAAGAATATTGTAATTGACGCAAAACTTTAATGATTTAACTTAATAACAAACCACCAATTCAAACGTCGAAATTGAGGCAAAAAAAAACGTTGAAATTGAGGAAAATGTCGCCTGACATGCACTGAGATGACTTCGATCTCTGGATCTCTGTATTAAACTTCGACCGCCTGGGTTATTTTTTTAAAAGCTAGAATACGCCGACTGTTTCGACGCAATCCGAAGAAAAAGCCAAATGCGCCATAATGTTACACGCATTCAAAGAATGCGCCTATGCAATAAGCGCATTCTTTGAATGCAATGCGCTTAAATGGCAAGCGTGTACGCCGCTTCTCAAATACTTTTCCATTCCCGCTTCTTCTCCTAAAAAAATAAGTTTACCTGCTCGTTTCAAAAATTTGGCCTTTATTTCCCTATATAGATGAACTGGATATATATTCCTCCATAATCAAGTATTTTCCGCAGGCTAAAGAATAATATTTAATCCTCCCAACAATGCGCCGAACGTGCAGGTTTTTTTTTTCTTTTTTCTTAAATACCTAACTGGTCAAAGTCAAATATCAGATGACTTGATCATGAGATCTTTGATGAGGCATAACCCTATTCTCCGAATCAGCAGAGAATTCTTCAACACTCAAATGCACGCAGAAACATTATCGCACGTTAAGAAAAATTAAAATAAGGAAAAGCAAATGCCAGACGATCAAGAAGAATACGAATAGAAAAGTGCAGGGGAAGCCTTGCCTGAGGAATCGGAAGCATTGCAGCAAGATCGATGAAAAAATCCCCTTTGAGGTATCTCATGGCGATCTGATGGGGGTCTTTCACAAGATCACCCCTCCCGAAAACCCTGGAGCTAGGCGCAACAAAGGCCGTGCGAAACTTCAGAAGCATGTGAGCGAGATAAAATAAGTCAGCTACCGTGCGAAAGAAGGTAACAATAATGCCGATGCCCTGATCAATCCGCATGCAGGAGGGACCGCCGATGAACATTAGATAGAAGTAGAGGGGATCGAGGAAGAGTGCGACGAGGCAGGAGATGAGGAAGATACGGTTCCATTTGAGGACGACATCGCCACCAGGATCGAGGATACGGCGAGGCCGGTGCCACTTTTTGCGGAGGAGATTGGGTGTTCGATAACTCCCCTGCCTGAAGGGGAGGAATTTCGACGCCGGCGAGGGAAAGCCGAAACCGAGAGCGTTCATCTTCCATGAGGAGGTGAACGGGAAGGGGGAGGAGGACGCGGACATTGAGGCGGGCCAGAAATTAGGTCACCTTCATGTTTCTGACGGGTTTGAGGGAAGCCGGTAGTGGCCGAGCGTTTCTCGGAGGCGACATTGTTGGGGCAATGCAGAGGTGATTAGAGAAACAGCGCCGGTTTATTGAAATCTTTCTTTTTTTATATCCCGCCAACAACCGTTTCCTTTTTTACTTAATTATTTTTTGTGATTTATGGGACGTATTAAATGGTTCGAAAATAAAAAAAGGCTTATACAGCGATTTTTTTATGAAGAAGAAGAGGAGTTCGCAATAAAAAAGTTAGCCAATGGTTTATCCAACTTGAATTCCCTTGACCTAAACTCGATCTGCCTAACCCATTTTGGATTAACATGACCTAATTATTCTAAATATAACTTGCTCAGCCCAATTAAGCGACCCAAATCCGTCTAACTTTTTTTTTTTTTTTTGGTTAAACCCCATTGACGGGCTTACGCGTTAATATTGAAAAAAGGTACCAGATCCTTAAAGGGACCTCCAGCTCACTAATGCTCCAAAGAGCTACAATAAAAGTAAAAAAGAAAACTAAGAGCCAGAAGTCCCTTCTAAGCCAAATTATAAAGTACCCTAATAACATTCTACCAACAAAAACATAAAGGGAAAGATAAATCTCATTCAGCACTGCCCAAACCCGTCTAACTTAAACAAAGTGATTGGATCAATTCCAACTTAATTTCAGGTTATTTGGGCCAACCCAAACTCAAACTAAATAATAATCAAATCTATAATTTAGACTCAATTAGTAATCTGTCAACTCAAACTCGATCAGAATAAAAATATGGTTAACTCTATACATAATTTTTTTTAGTATGTTTCAACTTAGGTTGTCGGTCACGTCTTTTATTAACACCCCTACCACCAACTTCATCATCCGTTGTCGCAAACAATATTGACATGTCATTACCTATAAAATCAAATAATCGTTAATATAAGCTGTGACACCCACTAACTCTATTGCATGTTGTTGTCAATAATGTTGACAAACGTTATCCGTCGGATCAACCCGAACCGACCCGTTTTTCAAACGGGTCGATTTCTAGAACATGAACCCGATCCATTTTTAAATCGGGTCGGGTCAAACCTGAAATTTCTGAGTCGGGTTTTCGAATCGTGTCAAATATTGACACCTCTAGATGTCATCAATACAAAAATCAATGGCAATAAACTCCTTAGCTCACCATCACCAACAATATCTATTCACACTTAGCTCGCTGGCTTCACTATTTATTTGCAATCCCATCAGTGATAGTTAAATTTCCATTATCTAATCTCATCAACAAAACATTAATTTACTATTGATCACTTGATTGAGTGGCTTCGCTTTTAGCCTCCAATATAGAGTGAAGGGATTCAGATCTTCGAGAAAAAACTAAAAAAATAAAAACAAAATCATCTCAATAGAGCTATTGAAGCTAAGGATTTATTTGTAACGACTATAGATTTTTATAAAGTTTGTTGGAAAGTTACTACGGCAAAAGCAACTTAGTCATTTTGGTTGTAAAAAATAGTTTTACACCACAAAAAATTTTGAAAAGCAGTGTGAAAGCCATTAGAAAGCAATAATCAAACGAAATTATGATTGTTGTCTGAAAAATAAAGCAGCGAGAAAGCAATACCGAACAGATCCTACATCAAATAAAACTATCATTTACCGCATAATTATAAATATTTATGATTAATGTAATTTGAATGCGAACATATATGATATGGCACAAATATCATGTTAAATCAATTTAAAGCTTATATTTTTCTGATAAATTCATTAAATCAATTGGTATTTTAGCCTTCCACTTCATTATTTTTAAAATTTTCATAAACGTTTAGGCTTTAATTTCAAGTTTGCTACGAATGATTGGAAATTATGCAGTCATGTTCATTATGGCGATTTGATTCTGTAATTGGCATTTGGGATATCATTTTGTGAATTTAACCGAATTGAGATCCCTTTTGTGTATGTATTGCTTCTCTAATTGGCATATAATTTTGGGAATTTAATCGAATAGAGACCCCTATTGTGTATGTATAGCCCATAAGACGTCGACAAGGCCAAAGTTCTTCGAGGGCAAAAGCAACAGTTGGTATGATCTTGTAGGGGTGTCAAAATGAGTATTCAGATCTGGATTGAGTTGAATCTAGGATTGACCCGATTCCAATTCAGTTGATCCGAACCTGACCCGATTTTGTAAACGTGTTAGAAATTTAGATCCGAACCAGGCTTGTCGGGTTACCTGGCTGACACAACGTCCCTACCCGCGGCTGGTTGTGCTGCAGGCAAGGGATTGAGCTGCAGAGCACACGAGTGCAAGCAGCCGAGCAAGCTAGCACGCTAGTGCAGGGCAAGTGCAAGCGTGCGGGCTTTCTCAAGCGGTCAAGCGCGGACCTAGTTTATAAAATAAGTCTAACAACAGCATAAAATAAGCCACCTAGTTTATAAAATATAATAAACCATAAATATATTTTAATTAATATAACTATCAAGATGTGAATCTAACAACATTAAATATATCTACTTATTTATTAATTTTATAATTAGCTTCAGTTAGTCCCCGTTTAAAATATGAGTTAAGTTTTTGTTACGTAATTAACCATGTCTTAATTATAATTTAATAAATCATTTTTATCGAAACCTTCTTTGGCAACTAATTGTAAATAAAAAAAATTCAAGTATTTTTTTAATAATAAAATTTACTGAAATATGATAGTTGTAAAAAAAATTATGATGGTTAGAGTTTATTTAAGACAAATTTCTCATTGTTTTGCTTTTTCAGATTGCAACCATAGTTCTGTTTGGCTACTATTTTTTTGTTGATTTTTATAAATTTTTGAGGTGCGTAGCTGATTTTATAATCAAAGTTACTAATTTGGGGTAGCTTTAAGGAAATAAAAGTTTAAATTTTTAAAAACAATATATTTATAATATTCACAACTATATTACCAAAAGTTATTTTTCTACAATGGCGCCTTCACAATCACCTGCACAAAATACCATAACAGTCTCAAATAGGGCAAATTATTACATCCGGTCACCGGACGTACAGATAGGTCCGGATATTAATAAAATATTATTTTAAGTTAAGTGTATCAAAAGCGTAGGAAAAGCGCAGGTAAAGTAGGGCAGTCAAAAAAGCGCATTCAAAACGCAGCTAAAGCGCAGTCAAAGCGCATGCGACGTGGCAAGTTTTAATTGGATGTCCGGACTTATTTTTAGGTACGGTGACCGGGCCTAATAATTTGCCCTCAAATAGATGCTATCATCAGCTTTTAAAAAAATATCTTTTTGTACATCAATTTACGATTGGATAAGAAGTGGCTTCAAAGAATATTTGGGGCGACTGCAATTTTTACAAAGGTGATTGAGAAGCTATTGTGGGAAAAATAATTTTGTTGAAAGATATTATGAGCATTATAAATATATTCTTAAATATATTTAATCATAAATATATTTTAAATTAATGATCCACTATTTAATGAAAGTTAAGAGAAATGATAATTTTGCATTGGAAGATTGATAAGTTATTAATGCATAACTCGTTGCTCTATATTTGGTGTCGGTAATTTTACAAAATATCAAATTGAGTTATATCAGAATGTCAAATTGAAGATTAATTTTGTGCAGGGTTGCAACCGAGTCAAGCCGGCTCAGGCTCGACAAGTCGAGCATGAAAGCAATTTCGAGCTCGAAGGCTTAACGAGCCCAAGTTCGGATACTCCGCTACTCGACTCGAGAGCTCGTCGAGTAACTCGAGTAAGAGAAGACGACGCAAGAGGAAGCGGGATTAGAGAATCAGATTTCTTAGGCGGGAGGGACTGGGATTCACAGACGGGAGCGGGAGCATGATTCGCAGGCGGGATTCAACGGACGATTAAGCTCGCGGATTCAACAATGGATGATGGCACGGAGGTCGACGTAGCTCGGGATGACGAACGGGATTTGCAAACAATGCAGGTCGGGAAGGAGCACAGTAGCCGCTCAACCCGACTCGATCATGAGACAAGTCAAGCTCGAGCTCGGTATTTAACAGTTGAGCTCGACTCGAACACCCCTGGCTCGAGCTAGACTCGACTTGCTTGCAACCCTAATTATGTGTCTATTTATTTGAGGGATTTTTTTTTCTGCTCTACTTTTTCATATTGTTGTCATACTTCCCTTTGACTAATATTTTCTAGTTTGATTTAAAAAAAAAATAGTGAAAATATACTTTTTACAATCAATTCTCTTACTAAAAAAAGAAATACTCATAACAATTTTCTAATAATATTTTCCTCTCTGAAATTATTTATGATATTTAAACAAAGAAAATATTTATAATACATACAAAAATTTATTATTAATTTATATATACTCATTTAAATATATTTATATTATATAATTGTTGCGGGCTAGAATATACAAGACAATAGAGTTAGAAATTTTCGTCTCAACGTTGAATGGATATCCATCACACAAATAGAAAATGAAAGAACACTAGAATTTTTTAGTGGAAAACCCTTGAAAGGGAAAAACCATGGGGTCACGCCTAGTTAAAAGGATTCCATCATTGTTTGCTTAAGTTACAAGTGGCTGACTCATCCCTGAAATTGAGAACGATCAAATTACAACTCTCAAGTTGAAATTCGGTTACAAACAAATATCGAAAATCCAACAATGTTGAGTGGTCGGACAGAAATCTTTGTCAATCGATTATTGGGCAAAACTCAGGCGTCAATCGGTTGCCAGCCAGAACTCCGGCGTCAGTTGGTTGTCATGCAAAACTTCGGCGCCAACCGATGGTCGGGCAGAATATTGTCGGTGACAGTTGGCGATGGGGCAGAACTCCGACATTGGTCGGTTGCCGGGTGAAAGTCCGGTGGTGGTCGAAGATGAGTTTCTTCATTCTCTTCCTTTTCCTCCTTTTCTTCTTTCCTTCTTGCTTAATTCCAACGTCAATTGGCGACCAAGCAGAACTACGGCGTCTGTCAGCCGCTCGGTGTAAGTCTGACGGTGGTCGAGGATGAATCTCTTTCTTTTCTTCCTTCTTTTATTGCTTCCTTGCTTCTCTTCTTGCTTGGGTCCCCTCTCATAAAAAATAATGGGTTTATTTATAGTTTTTTAGAGTGTCATGACCATTAAATTAGAGAAAGATCAAGGGTAAATTGAGAGTGGTTTTAATGGACGGCAGGTGTTGAATCCCTTAATCATTGACCGTTTATTGAGTATTGGAATGTCTTAATGATATCAGAATTTGGCGATCTTGAGTACATTGGATTCTTCTCGTTGAGCCGCTCGATTCGACTATAAGCACACCATATTTGGAAACTGTTTGGCAATTCAAATTACCTTACAAATGCGCTTAGTGTCTTTGATTTAGACTCGTTTGGGCTCGGATTGAGTTGAGTTTGGTGTAGTTGTGTTCGTTCTTTCGAGACTTTCAGTTTGACTATATGTCTGCTGAAATCGGAGTACAAATGATTTCCGATTTTATTTTTGAATTTTCCAACATATTTTTTGCCTTGAGATTTGTGGTCGATCAAGATAAGTTTTTGATGATATATCAAATAATATTATAAAAATTTTCTCTCTTCCTTTTTCTTTCAAACTCACATCTTACTCTTTTAAAAACTTTTTTTTGTTTTGTTTTATGCTAATCAGCCTATTTGTGTAGCCATACCTTTCCTTAGCCCCATCATCTTTTCTGTGACATTTTTGACTGGCTTCTCACGCCACTCGCCCATGGCCCCATGCTCTATCTTCTCCACTATTTTTTTTTTTTTGGAATTGTAT